ACCCCCGGCTCTGGGCTTCCTCAGTGAGCTCGCTGGTGTTGGAGCCCCACAGACACGGCGGACAGTCTGGTTTTCCATCCTCACCTGGGCCAGTCCTGCTCCCGGGGGAAGGGCAGACAGGGGAGAGACCCAGCTCCGTGGGCCCAGAGCGGGTGGGCCCTTCCAGGCAAGGCCCCTGCAGGAGGACCTGAGGGCCGCCTCAGTTCACCTCTGTGGGAGGAACCGGCTCCTTTCTCTCCGTGGGGGTGGGATGGGTATACAGAACCAACAGGGCTTCCAACTCTCACGGAGGCAGCACCCACTCTGCAAAAAGCTTGCTCAGCCAATTGCTATCTGTGTGGCCTTGGGCAGTGAGCTTGCTTCTCTGAGCCTCAGTTCTCTCATCTGTGAAATGGGGAGAGAGCTTGCTGGGCCTGGGGGCGGGGAGTGGGGGGAGGGCTAACTGGGGACAATGTTTCTAAAGCGTCTGCTGTGGCTGGAACACAGATCAATCCATGGCAATTAACAAATAGCAAGCACCCACCCATCCGGCCCTGCTGCTGGGAAACCCACTGATTTTGTCCTAAACAACCGCCTCCCACCCTCCAGCCCGGGGAGCCGCTAGGCCTGGCTGGGGCGGAAGCCAATGCTTTTCCTCCTTTTCTTCTTTCTTCAGGAAATGAGATGGGTGCTGACCAATCACCCTTCACTACTCTTCTCCTCGGCCCTCGGGCCTTACCTGCCGCCAGGTAGCCAGCTAGAATCCCCACACAGGGGCATGGGACCCAGGGAGCAGGGCACTCTCACCCACCCCTTCTTACAGAGGAGGAGCCCAAGGCACAGAAGGCCAGATGGTGGCACGGAGCTGGGATGTGGTGCCAGGCAGTTTGGACCCACACTTGGCACGACTGTGGGAAAATGACTTGGGAAAACCTTGAATTTCCTTCTTAAGGTGATGGAGAGGAAACTGCTGGAAGGCGAGGTCTGTGCCCAGGGCGCCCAACTAGAACTGTGATTGCCGCCGCTGCATCTCCACCCAATGTGCACTTACGAAGCACTTCCTGTATGCCCAGATACAAGGAATCAAACCAAGACCTCATGGCAGGGGGGAACCAACATGGAACAGCAATAGGCATTAATCCAGCCTCCTCCACATTCAGAATCTATGATCATTTGCGTGCAAGTCAGGTGGGAATGTACACTCTGTGGCACACTGAAGATAGGGCCTCCAGGAAGGTTCATAACAGATGCCTTTAGGAAGGTGTTTATTGTTAGTGGTGCGTGGGCAGGTGGGCTCAGTGGTTAGAGCATCGCCTCGCACACTGAAGGGTCATGAGTTTGATTCCCGGTCAAGGGCACGTACCTCGGTTGCAGGTTTGATCCCCAGCCCCCGCAATGGGGCACATGAGGGAGGCAACCAATCGATGCGTCTCTCTCACATATGATGTTCCTCTCTCCCTCCCTCCCCCTCCCTCTCCTTCTACTCTCTCTATAAAGCAATGGGAAAAATATCCTCAGGTGAGGATTAACAACAACAAAAAGGAGCTGTGGTTCGTTACTGAGCCTAGAGCACACCCCAGGCTTTGCTCTAGATGTTACGTGTGTTGCTTTTAATTCTCCTAATAATCCCACGGAGGAATATTATTCCCACGGTTTTACAGACGAAGTAAAGTGAAGTAAAAGCTCAGAGAGGTAACAAAACTGGCTCCCGATTTCCCAGCCGCCCAGCAGCTGAGGTGTGATTCAAAGCCAGGCGCTTTGACTCCTGATCCCCAAACCATACTCAGTCACCATCGCGAAGGGGCAGTGAGTGATCCACATGGCACCTACTCCGCCGGACGCCTATAACTTGCAGATAATAAAAGGCATCCAACTTAAGTGTGCAGTGGGATTAACTTTTACCTTTGTAACCACCGCCCAGATCAAGAAGAGAGAACATTCCTAAACGTCTAGAAGGTTCTCTCGTGCTCCCTGGCAGGCTCTCCCCGCTCCAGGGGTGCCCGGTTCTGACTTCTATCACCGCGGCCCAGTCTTGCCTGCTCCGGAACTTCACGCAGACGGAACCACACAGCGTGCACTCCCTGCCTCTGACTTCTCTTGCTCAACGTAAAGCTTTTCCATCATCCATGAGCCTCAGTGTCAGCACTGCTCTCTTCTCTCGGTGGGTGATATTCCACTGCGGGCAGCGGGACTTGTAAAAGCTCCCGACCTGAGAAGCAGGACCCTCCCCTCCCCAGGGCCCCCGTCTCACAGAGTTGGGTGCCAGGGCTCAAAGCCAAAGGGAACGGGCTCTAGTGCTTTTTATATTTGTGCTCTCTCTGTGCATAAGCCTCTCTCCTGGCCCAGCCTGCAGGGGACCGGGCCGGGGGAGGGGGTCCCCTGCTCACTGACCTGACCCTCATGCCCTGGAACATCTCAGTGCTGGTGTGGAAGGGCAGCACGGTGGTGGCGCTGACGCCCGGGCAGTCCAGCAGCCCCAGGGTCAGGCTCTCCATGAAGGCGAAGGCCGAGGCCTTGGAGGTGCAGTAGTCGATGGCGCCGGGGATGGCGGACAGCGCCAGCACGGAGTTGAGGCACACGATGTGGCCGTTCTGCAGCTCCAGCATGCGCGGCAGGAAGGCCTTGGTGGTCTGAGCGGGGGGGCGGGTGGGGGGGTCAGTGTGGAGCAGATGTACCTTCCCAAAGCCCCTCTCCCCCTCTCTCAGGGGGCACAGACCACGCTGCACGCACGCGCTGCCCAGCGATGGAGCCTCCTGGGACAGCGGGGGCCG